TTCTATTCTATTCTATTCTATTCTATTCTATTCTATTCTATTCTATTCCATTCCATTCCATTCTATTCTATTCTATTCTATTCTATTCCCCACCTTGGAAGGATGAAAGACTTGAGTCAACTTTGAGCCAGTGAGAATCAAACTGCCAACAGGTTTTCAGTGAGCAGAATTAGCCTGCAGTGTTGCATTCTAACCGCAGTGTCACCACAGCTCTATAGTAAATAGTAAATTGATGTGACACTGCCTTTGAGCAACTTTTCAAAATTACCTTGTTTCTTTGAGACTATTTGTAGTTTAATTCGGTTTACAAGATAAAATTTTGTTTGTAAACTACATTAGGTTTAGGAGTGGGGTGGACAACCCACAATGAGTGCAGTTGCTTGGAATCATTATTTTTATATTGTAGCATATTATAGTTTGTTCCAAACTCCACTACAAGATGAAGAACTGAGTATTATATCTTTAAGGATGATTAATGGATTTTCCTCTCTAAGCTTTGGGAAGAAGGACAACTGGTATATATTTATGAATCAATCAATCAATATGTTAAGAAAGTGAAAGTGTGTTTGGATGTTACTTATTCAAACTCTATCTGAATAGGATGATGAATATCCAGACAGATGGAGAATATACTAGATATGGATTAGAGCACAGCATTCTTTAAATAGTTTGGTCTGAATAATTTTGGAGCACCATACTTATCTCTGTCCCTTGTACTCTGATAGGCAGTGAACTGAATGGCTTTTGTCCATCTTGATATTGCTGAGTTCACTTGCTAGATTAATAGGCATTATTAGGTTCTGGGCTTTGCTTTTCTTGCTCTTTGCTTTTGGGATGTGATATTATTTGAATGCTTTAGGCTGTAACATTTCAATAATCTGTTTTGGGGTTGGAATCAAAGAGGAAATGTAGAATTCAATATCCATTTGCTAACTTTTGATACGATTACAGTAAGTATGGCATATATAATTAAGAAATCGATGGAAAGGAAATAGTCCATGCCAGCCAAAGAACATCCATTGCTTCTTAATCATATTTTTAAATAAAAATCAGATGGTATCTCTTAAATTGAAGGAAGGATAGAGGAATGAGCTTGGGTCCCCTGTTATAGCTCTGGACAGACTAATAACAGTTATTGGGTTAAAGGATAAACTACCTCTAATTGGTTCATTACATGAAAAAAGACTGGTAAGCATGTGAAGAAAAACACTTTTTACAGCTGTTTGGTTTTATTTTATCAGACATGGGGGGGGGGGCTGTCCAGACAACAGAGATAATTTTAAATTGCTTTCGGGCTGTAAACTTACTGTTTAAAACTGCTTGGTAAATAGCCAGTTGATTTTGGCCTGTGAATGAACCTGATGCTTAATGGAAACTTAATGGCCAATTCTAAATGTTTGACCAAAAAGATGTCTAGCATTTCTTTCTATCTTAATCATGACAGCCTTTGTTCACCAACCCCACCGCCCCTTTTTAAGTTTTTATGGGAAAAGTGCATTATTATTCCAAACTTTTTTTTTTCTAGATAGGGTAATGTGAGAACTCTCGCGGGGTGATCCATAGGCATTTAGGCAATACAGCCCATGCTGTTCTGCAGTCATTAAGACAGCATTACAACATGGGCTCAACCCTTTTCATACATGAATGCGACATCGTGAGATTTATATGAAAAGAGGTGCACCTTCATATATTTACTTTTATTTGTTAATCAAATTTATATAGCCGCCCCTCTCATGAGACTCTGCTTTCATTGTCCCTCCTTCCCCTGCAGGGACAAAATTACTCTCCCTTCTTCCAAAAGTCTTGTTATCTAGCCAGATTTACCGGTATTTATTCATGAAAATTTATGTGGCAACCCAACTCACTGTCAGTGACTCAGGGAGGCTTATAAAGATATAATTCCAATATAGAAGCAATAAAGAGCAATAACTCCCTTTTCAATAATCAGTTCATCAAATAAGCCAGAAGAGGGGCTCCAATCCACTCCACCCAGGCCTGTTGGCAAACCAGTTCCTCAGGGTTTTGTGAAAGAGTGTCATAGTAGGAGCCAATCTTATCTTCGCAGGGAAGACGTTACACAGGGAAGGGAGCAACCACAGAGAAGGCTTTTCTTCTTGGTATTGTTAGATGTACCTCCTTAAGGATGAGGGGAATCATTTTGGCTAGTTGCAAAAGATCTCACAGATGGTAATTTTCTGCTGACTTTCAGCATCACAAATTTCCACATTGAGTGCTTCTATAAACAGGAAGACAGTGTGTAAATCTAATAAAATGAATCTGAGAAGCTGCAGTTTCCCCATCCCTTCTCCTCAGAATGGCATACATGGTAGTCTATTTTCAGCCTTGCCACAATTTTGTCAGATAGATAAAACTCACATTTATACCCTTCCTATAGTCGTGATTGGGAACATCTTACATCATCATCCATCCTTCACTAATGGCAGTATATCAGTAATAAAGACAAATTGTATATTGCCATAGTGTATGCTAGGGGAGCTTATATGATGCTATAAATCGTTGGAAATGGCCTTAGAAGCTTATGCAGCATGGTTAATAAATGCAACAAGCTTTGTCACTTTGGCACCAAATATTCTGGTTTATATACAGTACTGGTACCATGTCATACAAGTATCCAGTTATAATTTAATAGATGCTAAAACAAGTTATAGTATCTTCATTGTCTCTATCTACAAACATTTCCAACTCAGCCTTTATAACTTTGATGCGTAACGTTACATGCATGTTGCTAAACAAATATATGCTACTATGAAATTGCAGTCTTTAGAAAAGAGGAAAATATTGGCATATTACTACTGTAGTGTCAAGTTTAGAACCAGTAACTTTTGTCAATATTTTTTTGTTATTATTTCCCTGGGGTGCATCCAAAGTTTGGCTAGTATAGAATAAACTCACGTGTAGTTTTATTTCTCCATTTTGTTTCTTGTTGTAAAATAAATGATGATGTGATGTAATATATCATGTGTTGTTGTTGTTCATCTGAAGTTATATTTACCTACGTTTAAGAACTGCTAAGGACCAGATGATTTTAGTACAGTATGCCCTGATAGGTAAAACTATAGAACTCAAAGAAGGGTGTACTTCCTTTTTTACATGTCTGTAATTGCTATGCACATGGTGTTCTTTTGAATCCCTACCTTAAAAAAATAGTTTTAAATGAAAAGCACAGTAATGGGTAATCTCAGGTTAGCCATAATAAGCCCAGTTTGTGGGTTCATTCTCCCTCCTTCCCTCCCTCTCCCTTTCCCTCACTAGAATGTCAACATAAAGTCTAACTCTTCATATGAACAACTCTCCCTATGTGTTCAGAGCCTTTTTTTGCTCACGACCTTCTTATCTTACTACAAGGGCT